ATGGTCTTATGTACTTGCATAAATGCGCAAAAAATGAAAGGATGTGATAATTACAGTATCTCAGCGGAAGAGGATACACAACATAACAATACATACATACCCATAAATAATTACAATGTCCTTCATAAATGTTGTAACATAAAACTAAACATATCAATATGTATACAATCATTTAGTAGCCAGGCCATTTGTGGTTCGCTGCGGTAATAAGTTAGCTGATGTCCTTGAAAGCGTCATGTACTTACACCATATTTTTACAGAGAAATTACGAGATTGCAGACGCGGCAAGTGCCCGCGTCGGACATCGAACCGGCTCGGCAGCAGGTTTTTGGCCACCTTGACCACTTCGCATCCGTCAATTGATATTATGTAATGATTGATGGTGGTCTTTTTGTTTATAAATACATACTAAAGAAAGAAAAAGCATTAATATTATTATTTTCTCAAATTATTAGTTACTTTACCACGGTCAGATCCTCGATTCCTTAATATATTATATAATTATTCAATAATATACAAATTCATTAATAATTTAAAATAATAATCTGTTAATGTCTAGATTAAGTAAATCATTATTAATTAAAATAAAATTTGTAACATATAAATCCTTATATCCTGTTAATCATCAATAAACATGTAATCCATAAAAACCTTCAGTAACTACTATAAAACAGTGATTATAGTTTTACAGTAGTTACTGAATTCCCTTCCCTTTCCCATTCCCTTAATGCAATAATCTCGCGACTTCGATATACAACGATCCGTTAATTTTAATTTACGAGACACAATTTTCCATAATTAATTCACCCGTTACCACTTAAATTATCGGTCAACATGACGCTTGTAATTAAACAGTATTTTCATAAAAGCAATAATTCGAATATTTCGTCCATTTCGTCTATAGGTTTTATTTGAACTTATAGTATATGACATTGGTGTAATGGTAGCAATGTATGACTAATATAATTAACGGGTCGTGGGTTCGTACCCTACCGGGTTCAACATGTTCCTAATGAATTAATAATTTTTCTGAAACTTATTGGACTTTGTCTTGAAATTGGATATTAAATGAGTGGTCCACAGATGAAAAAACCGCCAAGTTTAATCGCGTTTTGGTTACAGTCTGTGGATTTCCAAATATCCAGACAAGGTCGCGTGTCTTGCTTAGATGTGAACCCGTGTCTGGTCACTTCAATCATAAATAACATCAATTATCAGCCTAGACTCTAGTTCTCTCTAGTTGTTCACACTTTCAACGCGTTTTCTAGAATCAGGATGTGCATAAGAGGTTTGTTATCCTGGGAAAATTAGTAATACTTGCCGGAACACTGAACACAAATAACCTGCTTGCCTTTGAATATCGATTTTACAAGGCAAACCTTATATGGAAAAGACCTAAACCTGCTGTTGCTTTATGTGCTGTGGCGTGAAAAGTCCTAGGTTCGAATCCTAAGAATCATGCATGTTTTTTTGGGCAGGGATATTTCGATCAGCTACTTTTAATTAAAATTATCAGTGAAAGAGACACACTATCTGTTTCATGCTTCACTAAAGGAAACGGGAATTTATTTAAAACAGTTTATAGAAAAATTAGTTATTAGGTAATTGTGATTGACATTATTTTAATAATTAGGTAAGCAAATCTCAAAACCTTTGTTGACGTTAACGACGCTCTCCTTTTTGAATTTAGCTGTTTTGAAGATAATGGCAAATGTCAAAGCGCTATCTCGCAGGACGGACATAAAATAAATCTCACAAAATTTCTTCGGCGAGGCCGCGTTATTTAAGCATGGTGGGAATCTTAATCTAGAGCAAGCGACCCTTCGTAAGTGGTACAAAGTAACCACGCTCCGTTGACTTCAGCTACAAGTATGTAAAAGTGCATTTCTTACATTGAAGGCTCTATACTTCATCAGACATCAATTTCAATATTAATTAACAATAACATAAAGAAAAAATAGCAATTAAGAAGAAGAAAGAAAATTTCGCCCTAACAATATCTAACTAGTGTAGTAGTAGTTATTGGTTAGAATACTAAAAATTTACCATAATTAACATATTTTGGCATCACTATTTTTAGATTAATTATTTATGTTATAAACCTCAACTAAACTACTATTTAAAAGACTTAAAGGAATTTTCACATTTAAATAAAACACTTTAACGATTTACGCGATATATATTAGTTAAACTTATTTGAAAATTATTTTTAACTACGGCCCGACGTTTCGGATGCTTTGCAGCAGCCGTGACCACGGCTGTGTTTTATTTAAATGACTTTAAAAAAGAGATTTCTTTTTTCGATTCGTATATGTTTATAAACAAATGTTTGAGTACGTTGAATTTTATTTTTATTAAAACCCCAATAAAGCCCTTAACGCAATGTGTATATAGAAAATGCTATAACCACGACTTGTTTCCCGTGGGACTTTATTGAGGACATCTTTTTATACCGGTTAAAATACCTTCGTTCACAAGTAACAACTCAGTTTCAACCGCGCTAACGAAATTGCGTCTATGAATTGAATTACCGTTAAAATATTCGAATCTACGCTTCGTTAATTTGTCAACAATGAAATTGAACATGATAAAACATTAATAATGATTGTTAATAATATATTATACCAAATATTATGTACGGTACAAACATAATTAACTATCCAAATTATTTATTCTAATTTTAGCATATTACAACTGAAATGAAGGTCAAATACTGTCTGTAGTTTACGCGAGTAGTACCCATTTGAATAAAACTCTTTTACAGTTTAAAACGCGATATATATTATGTAATTATTTTGGTTATAACTTATTTGAAAATTATTTTAACTACGGCCCGACGCGTCGGATGCTTCGTAATAGCCGTGGTATCGGGGAGACGAGTCAAATAAGTTTTAATATATCGCGTTTTAAACCATTAAAGTGTTTTATCTAAATGTGTACTACACGCGTAAACTATAGACAGTACCTTTTCTATGAAGCCGTTTTCAAGTTACTTTATAACTGGGTTAGCAACATTCAAATCCTGTGTCAGTTTTACATCACGATGTATTAGGTAAGTACCTATGTTATTCAAGCCCATCAAGTGAAGGAGGATAAAAAAGTACTGCATATAACCCATGAGAATTAAACCAGTGAATGAAGAAAACGATTTTTTAAATCTCTACTCGTTACGCTCTGATGCAATAAGACCGCCAAGATTATAATTTGTATCTATTGCATAAGCGAATAATATTAAAAACCAATAAATAAAATAGATAAAAACACTTTTGGACGTCTGAAACGATAACTGTATTATTTAATGAATATTTGAGGTACATTCAAGCAACGTTTTGGAGGCGTTGTTATTAAAATTAATACAGTTAATTTTGGATTTAAAAATATATTAATTCAACTTTGAACAGTACGTGGTACGGTATACTAGTAGTACGTTACCTAATGACATCCAGGTTTTCCACAGATTGATAATTTTAGCAAATTGAAATATTCGCTTTTCTACATTGAAGTTGAACCCCAAAAATTTTTGGAATAAATAAATCTAAAAGGAACTTTAAGTGTTTATTGAAATGACAATTTTACCTGATGATATATTTAAAAAAAATGCTTACATTTATAACTTAAATCTATCTATTTACAATCTAATATATATATCTATAAATTGTATACCCCGAAACATATGCCTAGATGTTATAAGATAACTGCGTGCTAATTGACACACCGTAGGTTTAGCAGTTATAGTAATATACATCTCTTTTAAAATCGGGCCTAAAAATGCAATCCCAACATACTTAAAGCGATGGAAACTGAGAGGTAGCAAAAAGGTTTGCATTCAGCATACATAAAAGACTGTACAATATAAATGTATTTGGCATTTATTCAAAGAGGTAGGTCTGCTTCGTGTTGTCGTGGGATCGAGAGCACTGAATACTTACATAGTAATGTAACAGAGAAATTTGGCCAGACAAAAAGAAAGCGATACGTCTTCCTTAATCTGAGCTAAACAATGCATATTCGCTTTTTTATCTTTGCTTGAAGTTCTTCGAATATTTAGGCGTAGGGTTCCGTAAACAAATAGTAATACGGGACTCAGCATTTACATGAATATAGTCAATTGTTTAAGAGATTTTTAGAAGATTTTTTGCCTTTTTCAAGTGCTTTTTATTTTGAGCTACTTTTACAATTGACAAAATTATTCAAAGTACCCCACATTGTAACAGTTATTAGTTGATTACGTATTTCCTATTAGTTATAACAAGTTATGCCCCAGTTTCGATGGGCGTTATAAATACGCTAGAGATATGGTAGAGTTTAATGTCAGCTATTGTGTAACATTATTACAGATTATTACAATAATTCCAGTTAGTTTCCGCTTATTGCATTGGACGTTCCGCTTCAATTTGTTAATAATTGTATAGTTATGGTTTCACTTTTCTGCAACCCATCGCATAATAGGCATTAATGGCATACCGTGGGAAAACTTTATTTATGGAATGTCCTTTTTTGTGTGTTCATTTCTTACGTGATATTTTGAAAGATTTTTCTTTTTTTAAAGAATTATACCTACAAGGCTCCTTAAACTTTGTCGGCTAAGCGAAAAATGAGAATAAAACACTGAATTTTAATTATATCTAAACCTTTCCCATAGCAGCTTTGACTGAAGCTTCGATCAGTTTTATGTTGATTTTTTTTACATTTATATTTATAAATCGTATGTAAACTATAATTGCAAACTGTAATGGCAAATAGGGATAAAAAGATATTCATTATAATGTTAAGGACAATTATAGAACTATATAAACTATACTTATTAGAACGTGAACTATTAAAAATGTAACATTCATAGCTCCCATAATAAATAAAAATGTCAAAGGTATTTAGTTCTTTCAAAAATCACACCAATTCTTATCGAATATTTCACACCGTTATCCGAGGGGAATGCTTTTTTTACTCTATGAATAGAACTCACCTTTTTTCTAAGAAACAGCCGGACAATCCCAATTCGGATGTGGGTCCCGAGGTCCGCAGTAGTTAAAATTGCCGCATTCCACTACAAGGCGCGAGGCAGACGCAGCCTCCCTATCTGGACCGGTTGTTTACTACCGCGCTGGGTACCCAAACGGACCCTTAATCGGACGGCATCACATAAACACCTATTGAAACACTTCGATTATGTCGTCGGGGTGCCGAATCATGGCTGCGCGGTGTTATTTCGGAAGATCGTCGACGATCAATGTTATAAGTTCAAGAATAACGAGCGGCAAGTAAATCTCGATAGACGATGCGCACAGTACTGCCACTGCCCGCAGCCCGACACCGGTCCGCTGCGGCGGAGGCGACTACGGCGCCCTCTCGTGCTCGTCGCGCAAGCGCCACGCACCGAACTCGCGGCTCACCTCGCGCCTGCCACTCTCAAAAGTCAACTAAATACCTAGCTACATAGAGCCTCACATAATAATACATAACCATGCTAGCATATTTTTTGTATGAAGTCTAGCCTCTCCACGTAACGAGCCCTCTAACGGGAATGGGATAAGTACCCTCGCATAGAAGTATCTCTACTCACTTCTGCAGTTAAACTTAATGAATAAATTAATAGGTACAATATTTATATTGAAGGTACTGTATGCGATTCCTTCATCGGGTACACTCGATTGAAATTTGAGGTTTGACGTCAACTCTTACATAATGTTGGATGCTGGTGCAAAATAACATTTAGAGCATGTCCATCTACATATTTAATAAAAGTTGCTACAGGTTTGACCTACTTTGCAGACCACACAAATATTTAACCAAGTGTGGGTGTGGCATTTCACCCTAACGAAATTTGCACGATGTCTATTGCCAGTGGTATACCTATTCCAAATTCTAAATTGCAATAAGAGTTAAGGTGTTTTGCACTCACTTAGAATTTTTTTTCTGCCGAAATAATCACGAGATATTTTTCATTAATGATGATATTTAACATATTAATCATTGTCTTGCATACTACATGTTAGGCCAAAGGGGCTTTTTATGAGTTTGATGAAGCTTTCCATTTTTTATTGGCATCCGTGATCTACTGTCAGATTTATAAGGTTTTAAGTTACCAGGATGTTTTTTTTTAAAGAAGATCACGTAATAATCAGACCAGCAATACTAGGGGAATACGGATGATGAGGTAGAATAGAATAATACAAGATTGTCTGATTACAATATATTTCTAAAACTTCTTTTACATTATTTAAAGCATTTCAATAAAAATTATGTAACTTTTGTTGTCACCTACTCGACCCGTATATTGCGAGCACATTTTCTTTATCGATCAGGATAAAAAGTGGTGGAATGAAATAGCTACATCTACGATATAGATATCTTAGATGTATAGATAGATGTAGATTCAGCATTCTTAACCTTTGTTTTATTTACAAACGATATAAATATATTGTTGATTAATTGATTACATATTATATGCCAGTTTGGGCCAGCAAAAAATTGGCCATCTGTATTACAGTAGATATAAAGTTAAAAATATACCTAGTAATTGCTCGTTTTTCTATTACAAGATCACAGAAAATTGACCTTTTAAAAAGTCAGTTTTATAAGTCTCGTAAAAAACACTTAAATATTTTTTTCCTAACTTTTCTAAAACAAATAGTTACATTACAAATCCTGCACAAAACGTCTATTTACGCGAGTAGTACACATTTAAATTATTCACGTTTATCTTTGACGGTTCTAAATTACAAAATGAGTTACATGACGGGAGACTGTTGTCTTGTCTTGACTTGTCTCCCCGTACCAGCCCACAAACTGGGCCAAGAAAATCATTTTCAAATAAGTTTAACTAATATATCGCGTTTTAAACCGTTAAAGTATTACAAAAATCTGCACAACTCTTAATATTGAATACATATTCAGCATTGAATAAAATAACTTTAATAACATTGATTTAATAACCAAAACATCAAATGCTATTATTTACTTTTCTTTCAGTCATATTATGTCTGTCAAAGTACACATAATAAAGTTATAGTATCATGTGTATTCGATAGATGATATACATAATATATCTCAGTTCTCTCTTTCTCTTAAAAATAATTTAATAAATTCCGTAACGTTTGAGTTTGTCGTGAAGGGATGCAATGTTCGTTCGAGTACTACCGTAATTTGTACCGTATAGTTTCGGCCAATCTATATAATTATAGACTATACAGTTATAAACTATTTTCATGAATTAATCTATAATCTATGATTAGTTATGGTTATCCTGTATAATCTATGGAGGACGGGTTAAGTCTGTATTGTGTAGAACTGGTAAACATTTCTATTGATAAACAGAGTAGGATAATATATTAGTATATTGTGATTTGATTTATCAGAAAGGAGGTATTCCAAATTCTAATCGAGAAATATAATATTCTCTAATGAGAGATAGATATACTTTTATTACAATAAATACTAATACGTAACGACTATAGGAGTGTTTTTAAAAAGTGTATCACAATGTCCAAAAAACATGTAATGTTTCATCCTATCATCAGCTCTATTCAAAGAATAGCCCTATATGAGACGAAAGCGGTTTGTTAATTTTTGATTCTATTATTATTTTTAGGTAATTCAATCATTAAATATTTATGTATGTAAGTTTGGGCTATTTGCAGAGATTTTACTTGATCGGCTCCAACAATACACAAACTCGATTTCGCGTATTAAAAATTGATCGAACCGACCCAAGAGAATTGATACTAGTTGATGATAAGGTCGAATATAATAAGCAAGAAATTCATCAGTTATTGAGCATGATAGGGTTTGGCAATAGAGGCAGCAGATCTGTTGGTTTTAATAAATTGGTATCAGCATTTGGAATTGTAGGTGAGATTTCATTTTTTTCTGTATAAATTTAAAGTTTTCAATTTTATTTGCAGTCAAAAAAAAATTATCCATTCAGTGCCATCTTGTTTGTTTGTTTGTGTTATTTATTATAATGTATTATTAAAATTGTATATGTCTTATTAGAAAGTAATACTCAAGCAGAAAAGGTGAACAATGCCTGTTGTTGTTTTACAAACACGGATAATATAATTTAGATTTTTTTTCCTCAGAATATTTATTTTAGGAACATATGCACAATTTTATCAAGGCAAGGCTTCTCTTTTAATGACACTTCTAAAGTTTGGTATAATATAAATAAAAAATCCACATTGAATGTGTCCCTTTTGAATCCTCTTAAAACTGTAACATCCATTTACTTTAGAATTTTTCTATATTTTTCAGGATTCATTAGGTTTCTTGAAGGATATTACATTATCTTAGTCACCAAGCGCAGAAAAATTGCTGTAATAGGACCACATTCTATTTATAAGATTGAGGATACGGCCATGATATATATACCAAATGATAACAATAGGCCACAGCATGCAGACGAACAAAGATATGTAAAAATGTTTCTAGCTATAGATCTATCAACAAATTTCTACTACAGTTATAGCTATGATGTTACGCACACATTACAAATGAATATGGCACCTCCTAGGAAACTTGCACCAGCTTTATTTCCTGAGCCTGTTACAGCAGCTGTATATCATTCTAACATAGACATTAAAACTAGGGAAGAATGTGTCTGTATAAAAAAAGAAGATGATGAAGATATCTTTGAGACTTGGAAGCAGCAATTGCAGCAGAGGCAGGAAAAAATGGGGTTGGTAGTACAATACTAGTTACAAATTAATTGGGTATTTATTGCAAACAATATTTTTCACATAAGGCTGATATTTAATCATTCTTATAATTAATTCCGAAGGTGGATAAGAATATTGGGATTAAAAATAAAAAAATGACTATGTATTAAGCAATTTAATTAAGTTAATATAAACATAAAAAAGGGTTTCCATATAGGGTAACAGTAGCCATAATATCTATTATGCTCACAATTGATGAAATATTATATTAAGTTCAATTGGCATATAATTTTGAATTTTTAGGCCAAAAGCACCTAAATTGGAATTTGGTGTACGCTCAGTTCCTGAATGGAGATTTGTATGGAATAGTCATCTCTTGTCTGTTGTACATTCTCAGTTACACCCAGATTGGATTTTGTATATTGTCCATGGCTTTGTAGAACAGAGCAATCTTAATATTTTTGGTAGACCAGTCTATCTAACACTAATAGCTAGAAGAAGTAACAGATATGCTGGCACAAGATTTCTGAAAAGAGGTGCTAACATGCATGGAGATGTAGCTAATGAAGTTGAAACTGAGCAAATAGTTCATGACTCAATGATCTCTTCATTTACGTCTGGAAGGTAAAATACATTACTTACAAATCTGAGATTTTTATTGATATAAAATATCTTTTTACCTTTCATTATAAATAAATATTATATATAGAATTTCAACTATATATTGCAATTCAGGTCAACTTGTATTTAACATTGATATCTTTATTAACTATTAATAATCAAGTATGATTAAGGTATTGTAAAATTGCTGCTTTAATGTCTTTTTTATCGAACTTATTTATGAATTGTTATTTGCTTTGATTGCAGATTTAGTTCTTTTGTTCAAATGAGAGGGTCAATCCCTTGTTTTTGGTCTCAAGATATATCTAAAATGGTGCCTAAACCTGCCATATCAATAGACAGAAGTGACCCATACGCCCAAATACCGGCTAAGCATTTTAATAACCTCATGCAGAGATATGGCTCACCAATTATGATTTTAAATCTGGTAAAAAAGAGAGAGAAGAGAAAGCATGAATCATTGCTAACCCAAGTTATAAGTAATGCTGTGAAGTATCTCAATCAATTCCTACCACCTGAACATGTAATACAATATTTCCATTTGGACATGGCGAGGATAAATAAGGGTGCTGATGCAAAGGTGCTGGATAAGTAAGTAACAGTATCTCAACATATAAAAGACTTTGTTATGAACAACTGATTGAAAAATGCGGGGCTTATAAAACTGTATTAACCAGATGGTTTTGAATGTTATAAAGGAGGCATAATACAGTAGTAATTGAATTAAAACTACCCCCATTTTTAGGGCTCTCCAAAATTTGAAAGATTCTTATTAATTATCGGTATTATAATTATTATTAATACTTATTATGATCATTTTGCATTTATATTCACAGATTATCCGCGATAGCCAGAACGGTAGTGAAGCGAACAGGAATATTTTTAAGCTGTAGTGGCTATAGTGAGGAGATGGGCGTGGAAGGTCACCAAGGTGGTCATCTCCAAACTGGGCTGGTGCGAGTTAATTGTGTGGATTGCTTGGACAGGACTAACACTGCACAGTTTGCTATTGGCAAGTGTGTTTTAGCACATCAGGTATATGTATTGACTTATAGGAAAAATTAGGTTTAATTAATTTTAATATGAATAATAACGACCTAACTAAACAATTAATACTATACCGTTAGATTATCCAAAGTATCTGCTCAACTAGTTGTCAGGAAGTCAATGCATACAACTTTCTGTAATATCTTTTCAGCTGTACGCGTTAGGCCTCATAGCAGAACCAGTGATAGAGTTTGATTCAGATTGTGCAAGGCTTCTCGAGGGCTTATATGAAGATCATGGCGACACTTTAGCTCTGCAATACGGAGGATCTCAATTAGTGCATAGGTAAAAAGTAATATTTAATATTACAAAATTTAGAATTATCCAATGATAACGATTTTCAGGCAAGCGCCCAAGTTTACCCATCTACTTGTATTTATTTATTGGTTTTATTTTTTAGCGTTTTAAAAGCTACAAACAAAACATATTACTATTTAAATATAACATTTTAACGGTTTGAAACGCGAAATATAGTAGTGAAACGTATTTGAAAAAATTTTACTACGGCTCGACGTGCCGGATGATTTGCAGGAGCCTTAATCACAGGGAGACCCGTGACCGTCTGCTGCAAATCAAATAAGTTTATCCTATTTTTGCGCAAACCACAGATAGTATTTAAAACTGCATATTAAGAAATTAGCATGCATATACATCAAAGATAAAAAACTTCCTATCTTTCCAGGATAAAGACGTATCGCAAAACTGCACCTTGGTCATCCCACGGCAATGATATAATGCAGACATTGAGCCGTTATTATTCAAACACATTCTCTGATGCTGAGAAACAGAACACAATGAACCTATTCCTGGGACTGTTCATCCCTGACTCGAATAGGCCAGCTATTTGGGAATACCCCACAGATTATTATCTCCATCATCCAGAAACTATGGTCTATATTCCCAATAACAGGTAAGTTATGATATAAGAGTGGGTTTCGTGAATGACTGCAAATCATCAACTTGGGGTTATATATTTTTTTTAATGATAAAGGAGGATAGACTAGGATTACTTGATGGTATGTGAATTACCCCCGCCTATAGCATATGAACAAATAACCTAACCTAACCTAAATTGGCTTTGGATATTCGAAAATCCACAGACTGAACCGAAACGTGATTAAACTTGACTTTTTAATCTGTGGACGGTCCTACGTTACGCGGCGGGATTTCGATATTGCTACCACCCATCCAGATTTCGAAGTCCAACATGTTACAATAAACATAAATTATAAATTGATTAGAAAAATTGTCCAAAATTCACGACCCGTTAATTATTAGCGGTACATTGCTACATTACACCTACGAGTTTGTCAAATTACATTTGTATGTATTTAAATAAAACATTCTAACGATTTAAAACGCGATATATTAGTTAAACATATTTGAAAATGATTTTTAACTTCGGCCCGACGTTTCGGATGTTTTGCAGCAGCCGTGGTCACGGGGGCCGTTTTAAACCGTTAAAGTGTTTTATTTAAATGTGTATGATTCGCGTAAACTATAGACAGTATTCAGTCAGATGTATGCTTCATAATTTATTGTCTCTTCTCTTTTAAACGATATTGTTTACTTATAATAACTATGATTCTCCAATAGTATTTCTTACTAGGACATTTCCTCCAGGTCGTTAACAAAATGGTGGGACGATGACGTTGTTCGCAATCTGCCTCGGCCCAGCAATGAAATGCGAAAGTTGTGCTGCGAAATAATCGGGATGCAAGGTGATTCAGCACTAGAGATTGTTGACCCTTATCAAGAGTACAACCGCCCGTTTGAGTACACTGTCTTCATGGAGTGCTTTGAGTTCAAGGTAAGTTTTTAAGTAATATTATCTTAACGTTTTGCGTTTATTAAGGAATTAACTTTAATTTAAATGCAAGCTTAACTTCAAACCTTAAACAAATCAATCTATTTCATTCATATGTTTGTAAATACCAAACAAAATGTTATTAATAATAATTTTTAACTTAACTTAACTAAAAAGCACCTATGAATGCTTAAAAAAATAATCGTACCTTTACTCAAACGAATAATATGTCGTATGATAAAAATAATAGAGATTGTCTAATATACAGATGCTTCACACACTTCGAGATCTGGCGCCTTCTTTCACTGACAATATAAGTCCGTTCGTGGTACGAGGTCGGGCTCCCGGGCACGCTGTAAAAGGGCCTTCCTCCAAAAACCCTGTCATCAGTGGAAGATCTAGTACAGCATCAAATAACTCAAGCGAGTAAGTATCGTCCATTAGAAAAAGTACCAATAAAACAAACACAACTTAATATACGTTGAAACAATTAGAAATATGTACTTATTTCAATAAAACACTTTAACGGTTTAAAACGCGATATATTAGTTAAACTTATTTGAAAATGATTTTTAACTTCGGCCCGATGTTTCGGATGCTTTACAGCAGCCGTGGTCACGGGTAACTATAGATAGTATTTAATATGTACTTAAATTATTATCACACGACTGTTTGTACTTTTAACGAGTAGTACACATTTAAATAAAAAACTAATGATTTAAAACGCGATATTTATTAGTTAAACTTATTTGAAAATTGTTTTTAACTACGGCTCGACGTTTTGGATGCTTACGTCTCCCCGTGACCTGACCATGGCTGCTGCAAAGTATCATAAATTTTTTTAAAAGTTTAACTAATATATATCGCGTTTTAAACCGTTAATGTTTGTATTTAAACTTATATATGTTAAAAATGTACGATATTGTTTCTACTCACTGTCGTATGATATAGATTCTCCTAAAATATATTTATTCAGGGTGCATTCTACTAATAATCTTCATATGTTAATTTTGAATTTAAAGAACTATTTCTGTAAATTTATCTGTCATGTGATTATAATAAAGAAATATTTACTTTCTAGTTCCAACGGTGACTCATCTTCCGATGATGACCTAACGAGTTCCACGTTAAGTGTTAGACTTCCAACGACTTCAACATCGCGGGTCACCAAATTAGGGGATGAATTTTATAAACCGCCCCCTTTCCTTTTCGTTAAGAGGCGAACCAAGCCACTTGTTAACGACCCAAACAAACGCGATATGCTAATGTGAGTGAGTTGTAATAATTTATAAATACAGTACACAATCCAATAGATAAAAACGTAATCTATAGTACTATTATATAGCTGAAGAGTTTGTTTATTTTCTTGAACGCGCAAATCTCAGAAACTACTGTTTTGAATTGAAAAAATATTTTTGTGTTGGGGAGACAATTTATCTAGGAAGGCTTTGGGCTATATGAAATCACGATTCGACCACGACACTGTAATAAATGTGGAGTACTCTGGGAATATTGTTAATCTATTTTTTGTTTCTTGAAAACGGTTCAAGAAACCAAAAACACTGCTAGTATGGACATAAAAGCAAACTAAGTTATTCCCCGCGTAGAGGAATCGAGATTTCTTTTTGTGACAGATGCTTTAATATATATAACATATATTGTCTTTTCAGGTACAAACGTTACGTTAACTTCGAAAAGCGGTCTAACCCTCGCTACAAGCCCGATATCCATATAGTCCTTACTGTAAGCAGTGCTTTCACCATAGATAGCTCTGTAGACATGATCCCTCCAACTATCACCAAAGCCTCCAAAGAAATTTATCAAGATTATGTCCGTCGTAGCACAGGAAAACTAACTGTTCCCCACGAATCGCTGCAAATGTACAAGAATTATGTGGATTTTAGCCTATAATAGCATAAGGCATTATATTGAGTTAAAATATGTTAACAATTTTATTTATTCTGTTATTGATCTCCATATTATTATGTATTAAATAAAACCTTATATGAGTATCTAAGAGTATTTATTTATAGCAAGTAACTACCTAATAGAAAGTTCTATCTTATTAGAAAATTTTCATACATTATTTCCTTTTACATGTAGTGAAAAATGTATAAGAATACAAATACAAATTCTTTATTCACAAAAATTGTGTACATTTCATTATAGGGTGTGCTAGCCCCCACACTAGGATTCCCTGTGTCGTGGGCGGCTATACTCTTCTGGTACATTTCGGAAACAATGAAAAACTTAGTATCCACTTATAAATAAATTATATGCTAAGTATTTAAATAATAAAAAAAAAAACTTATAAATATGGAAAACATTTTGTCATACAATTTTCTGTTTGCGTATAATTTAATTTTAGAAGAAACACTTTAATTTTATTTAATTGGGAAGAATAAGAAGTAAGGGGGCTAATTATTTTTTTATTAATAAATAAGTTAAGCAGGAAGGGACCTTTATTAGTAAAAAATCATACATACAGTTTTTGTAGAATATAACGATTCCATCGCATTTATCTTTGTAACTTTGGGAAAAAAGTTCATATGTAACCATCAAGAAATAAGCCTGTAAAGTTTTCATCAATCCAGCACTCTGTCAGAATAATGCAATCCGGCTTGAATTGAAGTCTTGTTAGGAAAACTAGAAAACTATCAAAGTTTTTATTTATGCTTCGTATATTTTGGGACACTATTGTTAAGTTGGAAGGTTGAAAAAAGTTTTGCAGTCTTCAGGATATGTAAGGTTTTTGGTATTGGGTATAAAATGTGTATTGTCAATATCGCAAAATTAATTAATATTATCGAATTTTAATAGATGGGTGTAATAGGACGCAAAACTTTACCCTTAAAAGATTATAAGAATATTTGGTTAATGTGGTAAAGAGTGTATAACTTGTAATAAAACTAATTGGTTGGGTTTACATGAGTTAACTAAGTGTTTAGAAATGGCATTAATGTTTCCTTGGAGTGTTGGTAATAAAAATAAGAAAAGCTAGATCACTGCTACACAATTAAAAAAGAATACCTGCTCCAATAATGAAAATCCTTAGTGTAAGTCTTCTATAGCATATTATATTCAACAATGTGACGTATAATTGTGTGTAAGTAATATTGTGGGTAGATTAAAGGTATAAACTAAGGTAAATCCTCAATCCTCATATAAGTAATAAAGGGACATGACTTGAATTTTAAAAAATCGCGCGTAAATCTATAACAGAGGGTGTGAGCGTGACAGAGAAGAAAATACATTTTCTTACACGACAAACCTAATAACATCCATAGATAGTACAATTAATAACGTGCCTATATTGTAGTCTATCGTATGGATTTGTCCGAAGAATCTGTGAAACAACTACATTAATTTTAAGCTGTGATTTGATGTTGCTAGTGAATAAAGAGTAATCTGTGTCTGACGTCTGTGATTTTGATTCCTATCGCAGTTCCTCAATCGACGTTTTGTTAATTGTTATTTTTATGCTCGCTTTGAAGAATAGCGCATAAAATCCAATTAAGGGGCGGATGGCTTTTTACCTAAGGCGATAATTATATTTTCTAAAGACATGGCGATGTCAAAAGGATTTAAAGTGCTCGAGAAATCGGCTCCTCCGAATCCTTACAGTATTATCTTACAGCATAGAAATAAAGATTCAGCCTTATTATTTGAATCTCAAGCTGTTGTTTCTTTGTCATCACAAGAGACAGACACCCTACGAAAACAGTATCATAAGATCGCTGATGCCTATGGATGTCTAGGAGTGCTACAATTAAATTCTGGCGAAAGTTGTATGCTGTATCTGGTTCTTGTAACAGGTTGCAGTTCTGTGGGAAAAGTGGGCGATACTGAAGTCTTTAAAATAACCCAATCACAGTTTTTACCACTATTTTATCAATCACAAGGAGAAGATAAAGTGAGTGAAGTGAGGAAACTTTTAAACTCAGGGACATTCTATTTTTCTTGGAATACTGGGAAAACGACAGACAATTTATTTGATCTTACTCTCTGCGCTCAAAGAAAAGGTAAGGGAGCCAGCCATGATAACAGATTCTTCTGGAATAGAACTTTGTTTATTCATTTAATTAGATTTGGAATCGATTGTGAAGATTGGCTTACCAGAGCCATGTGTGGCTCTGTTGAAATACGCACTATATATGTAGGACACCGTTTGGCTAGGGCTGTTTTGATTTCTCGACTCAGCTGTGAAAGAGCAGGTACAAGATTTAATGTTCGGGGATGTAATGATGATGGAAATGTTGCCAACTTTGTTGAAACTGAACAAGCAATTTATGTTGATGATTCAGTATCATCTTATATTCAAACCAGAGGTTCTGTTCCTCTTTTTTGGGAACAACCTGGTATCCAAGTCGGATCTCATAAGGTGAAAATGTCTAGAGGGTATGATGCTTCAACTAGTGCATGTGAGAGGCATTTTTCACAGTTAAAACGTAATTATGGATCTATCTATGTGGTTAATCTTCTTGGTTCGAGCATGATAGGTGGTTCTGAAGGGGAAGCAACCCTTAGTAATGCCTTTCAAAAACACCTAAATGACTCGGCACACAATGATGTCATACAGATAATATTTGATTATCATCAAGAAGTGAGAGGTTCATCAATTGAGTCAGCTTTAGGAAAATTTAAAAAGGTAGTTGACAAATACTATGATAGTATAAGCATATTCAGTGCTAAAAATATTGATATCTACAACATTCAGAAGGGTGTAATAAGAACTAATTGCTTAGATTGCTTGGACAGAACTAATTCTATACAGACATTTATCGGAATTGAAATGCTGTCAATACAACTGATGTTGCTCCAATGTATTGATAAAAAGCAAAATGTAAATAGATTTGAGGAGGTATTTAAACAAATGTGGATAAATAATGGTAATGAGATATCAAAAATATATGCTGGTACTGGAGCTATACAAGGGGGCTCAAAATTAATAGATGGGGCAAGATCGGCAGCTCGAACTATACAAAATAATTTACTTGATAACTCAAAACAAGAAGCTATTGATATCTTGCTGTTAGGGTCTACATTAAACTCTGAGCTTTCTGATAGAACTAGAATATTACTACCTACAAATATTTTACACACATCTACCCCTGTACTTAGAGAGATGTGTCGAAGAGCTAATGAGTTTACACAACCAACAAATATTCGCATTACTATTGGAACATACAATGTGAATGGTGGTAAGCACTTTAGGAGCTTGGCCTACAAAGATGTCTCATTAGCTGATTGGTTATTGGACTGCCCAAATTCAGCATTAGTGAACACTGTTAATTTAAAAGACCACCCATCAGATATTTTTGCTATAGGATTTCAAGAAATAGTTGATTTGAATGCCAGTAATATTATGGCTGCTAGTTCAGATAATGCTAAAGCTTGGAGTGAAGAATTAGAAAAGGTGTTATGCAGAGATGCCTCTTATACTCTACTCTCTAGTCATCAATTAGTAGGAGTTTGTTTGTTTGTTTTTGTTAGGAAAGATTTAGTGCCCCACATTAGAGATGTTGCACTGGATTCAGTTAAAACTGGTCTTGGAGGAGCCACTGGCAATAAAGGTGCAGTCGCTATTCGACTGGTTATATATGGAACATCCCTTTGTTTTGTGTGTGCCCACTTTGCTGCCGGACAATCGCAAGTGTCTGAACGAAATGCTGATTACACTGAGATAACTAGAAAAATTGCATTTCCTATGGGGAGATCATTATACTCACATGATTTCGTATTTTGGTGTGGTGATTTCAACTATCGTATTGATTTAGATAAAGAAGAAACACGTTTACTGGCGTCACAAAACAATATTCAAAGACTACAGGAGCAAGATCAGCTAACGCGCCAAAAATCTCAAGGCCTAGTTTTTAAGAATTGTTTCGAAGGCGATATTACTTTTCTTCCAACATACAAGTACGATTTATTTAGCGATGATTATGATACCAGTGAAAAATGCCGAGCCCCCGCTTGGACTGATAGAGTATTATGGAGAAGCAGAAAATACACAATTGACCCTGAAACAACTTCTGAATCCGCTAAAGGAAAGTTATTACATTATGGACGAGCTGAACTTAAACAAAGCGATCATAGACCAGTAATTGCTATTTTAGAAATAGAAGTCCTGCAAGTTAGTTACACAAAATGTATGGAAGTTTTTTACGAAGTAGTAAAAGACCTTGGCCCCCCCGATGCGTGTATCATAGTACAACCAGTCGAAGATATAGATAGCGAAGACTCTATTTTCGATGATAATTTGATGTCTACAATTTTACAAGAACTAGCTACCTACGGAGAAGTCACATTAGTACGTTTCATAGATGACCACACGTTAAGCATTACATTTAGAGACGGTCAAAATGCGCTAGCAGCATCTCAAAAAGGTACAATTTCGTCTTCTTCGATACCGTTACGCGTTACGCTGAAATCACCTAACTGGATTGAAATAGTACGATCAGAAGTTAACTTATGTACGAATAACACCATTCCCTTATTTGGCGAGGTGTCCGCAGAAAGACCGCTTCGATCCGCTCCGCCAACACCACGACGGCAGCAACCGAGCAGGCCTCCAGCACCATCTCCCACACCTCTAATCCCCTCTAGAGCACCGGCACCGAGTCCCGCAAGGCCCCCGCGACCTGCTCCCATAACTCCCGAGCCAATTGTTGCTCAAGCATCTCTGAGTTCCCCACCGGTCGATACAGCACCTCCCCCATCTTGCGCACCGCCGCCTCCGCCGCCGTCAAGTAGTACTCCACCGCCAACTGCACCCCCGCCCCCAGTTCCAGCCAGACAAGGTGCACCGCCACCTCTTCCTGCTCGCCCTCGCCCAGTGATGTAGGTTTTCGTCGTTTTATATATATGAATTTAATCATCTATTTACATGTTGCTGGCTCTGGTAGTAAAATTGTATTGGCTGTGATTCAATTGCATTCAAACTTCTACTTATATGATTATTTTTCGTAGCTTCAAATGCATTTAATATACCTTACTAAGTTCTATTTAAATAATTGATGCCAATACTATCTATACTCTTTTGATAAGGTAGAAAAACGATTATCAGTAGTAGTCTTGGGCAATCAAATATACTAATATCTATCTATTGTATTCGGGCCTTTAAGAAATATTACACAAGCACGCAGTTATTGCATTTGTTACATTTTCTTTAAAAGACATAATTAGTTATTGTTACACCCTTTTATTTTTATATGAACCAGTTTTTAAATTAAGAATCTTATCCTTGATCTCTCTTTACATTCTAATATATTATTTTGTATAATTTAAGTTCCTATTTGATATAATTACGATTTTTTACATATTTTTTTTATTTTAACAGTACTTAAAGTACCTGCGTTTTTTATGAAAAACCATGCAAATGCAAATATTAACGCTGACATTCTTAGTTAGTCCATTGAATGCCATCTATGCCAATGTATATTGTATTGTGAACAATTTATAATTAATCCTTCAGAGGTCTTAGGAATAAGGAATATAAGTAGAACAAATTAATGTTTACTTAAACACATTTAAAAAATAAAAAGATGCAACTTGCTCGAAAACGTTATATTGAAATTATTAAGTATTATTTAATATAAATCATATTGAAATTTACTTTATTCTAATATTATTACTGTTATGGTGGGATTTTATTATCAAAGTATATACCCGTTTGCCTAGATTTAGTGATGATGCATCGAAGCAATATAGATTACCTATATTCATTATTATAGTTAGGACTGTTTAAATGGTAAATGTAAACGTTACGTAGGTGTGTTAATAGTTGATGTTAATTACATAAAAATGTATTTCTGCTAATGCTTCCGTTACAAAATTTAATAATTGAGTACCTATAGTGAAATTAGTATATAAGTATATCTGGTGTTTTAAGTTTAATATTACCATTTGTTGGAAATATATTATTATTATATCCTTAACAGTGTTTATTGATTGTTTTGGGGGTATTATTAAAAGTATTGAGTACACAGTATAAAACTAGCATAAAATTGGCAGTTCAAAAAATAATTTTACATTTTACTTATGTGTCTACTGGCATATATTATAATAAATTATTAGTTTCTTTAAATTTTTAGGGACCTTATATTTATTTTTGTTATGCCTGTAGGTTTATGCCTGCTGTTTATATATTTATTTCTTTTAGTGTATAAATGATATAAGAGATTTAATTTTTATCACGGACTTAAAAAAAAAAGAATGGGCACCTAAATATAACATTAAGTAAATCAACAATGCAATGTTAAAAATTAGTTACGCTTAATTAAATGTAAAAAGCACAGTGTCTATGGCAATAAAAGGATTATTCCAATATTTTTATTTGTTTCATTCAATGCTTGTCTCCATTTATAAAGATAGACCATCTATGGAACATAGTCAAGTAAAATAATTGCTATCTCACTTTCAGTATTTTTTATGTGCCTATAGAATCAACTAAGAATCATTTTTATAGGTAAAACAAACCACATTTATTGTTCAACAATCTTTATTTTATACTGATGCGTTGGATAAATTATAATGTTTAAGCTACTGACAACATGCTAGAATTTACTCAAAATTTACTTATTTTGGGGTACAGCATGGATGTAAACAGTGTGACCAACTCCAATCATTCCAGCCACACAGAGTAGGAGGGTGAAACGGTAAAGGATTGCATCAAATGGTCCACCTTTCAAGAAGACTGGTATGTCATCCTCTTTCTAAAAAAACAAATTTTAATTTTACAAAATGAAATATGGCAATCATTAGATGAAGAAGAAATGAAAAGAAGTTCTAAGCTCAAAAGAGTTGAATTCCATTTGTTCCGTTGATTTTGTTAGAAAAGTGTACCTGGAATCGTTCCTGATCTTTACGGAGCTTTGGGGATAATGGTGCGTAGAACTCATTGGTACCAGGAATTTTACGTCTTGTTTCGGTGGAGCAGGCATCCGATACAGTGGACATGTGAGTGGTGTTATACTGAATAGCTGGTGGGTCCACCCGTTGCAACGCAATTGGAACCTAAAGTAAAAAAATGTATTAGGTTCTCCAGTAGACCTTCAGTTATCTGGATAATTCTAACCACCATAGGTAAATGATTATGTATGCTTACCACGGGAAAAAGTGGGCTTTGTAAATTGGTGGCAGCAACGACCCGACCTGTGACTCTATTTAGTTGATGAAACATGTTTCTAGCACCACAAATTCACTAAATATTATACTTTTTACAATGCGAACCTGTTACGAAACAAGTAGGAACTTTATCGAATATCGATAACGTTCAGAAACTATAAACAAGTATTTTGTAAGATAGAATATTTAAAATGTCTGGTAATATTATTTTATAATATTTAATATATTTGCTTTAAATATTTTATTTAGTGCTGTGAAATGATTATTTTTAAAACTTCAGAAAATTAAAGGTGATTTCTAAGGTGTCGTGATTTTATATTTTCGAACGATTAAATTACACTATAACATTTTGTTTACTATATCCTGGTAACACAAATTCATATTCTTTGCAGAACCATGCTCAAAATTTTCCTAATTATAATGCAAAGTTAAGCAAAAAGGATCTGTATGTAAATTAGCAAATATTTTGTGTTTTTATTTTTTTCTTTATTGTCTAAGTCGCTAAAAAGTTTTTTGGGCTATACAAATCGTGAAAATAAATATTGTTGTCGGAAATATAAATATTAACTAACGAATAACTTATAACTTATAATTAATAATATATATTTTATATAGAGTGTTACAGATGACATAGATATCCATTGTTCTACCGTGTTCGGCTAGTTTTTTTAAAGAATATTAGTTAAAAGAGTGGGTTTTCTAAAATAGTGTCTGGTCACACTGTTTCCACCATTGCCTCTTTCTTTTATAGATTTGACAGTTCTACGAGCACATTTTAGGGAGGTTAGTTGCTGTAATAATTATTTTTTGTAGAAATTCTGATAAAAATGCGGGTTCTTTTACAATTTATAATTTTGTGCATACTCTTTTTCTTTATTATGAGTACCATACTTCATAAATATAAGTGTCGGAAAATTTCGAAATTCAAACATGAGCGTGGCTTGTCATTTTCTCGATCCTCACTTGTTGTTCATTTACTATCCATAACTTTCCAAAATCTTTTGTGTAATAAGTGCCTTTTCTTTGCAGCTGAAACATGCAAATCTTTGTAAAAACCCTAACGGGTAAGACCATCACCCTTGAGGTGGAGGCTTCTGACACCATCGAAAATGTGAAGGCTAAAATCCAGGATAAAGAAGGAATACCACCAGACCAACAACGTTTGATCTTCGCTGGTAAACAACTGGAAGATGGCCGTACACTTTCTGATTACAACATTCAGAAGGAATCCACTCTTCACTTGGTTCTCAGGCTTCGTGGAGGTTAGTTTTGTTTCGTATTATTCTTAATTTATAGCATGATATTTTTAATTTAAGTTCACTATTTCAATATCAGTACTGTAAAAAAATAAGTGGGGTTTAGTACTAACCCTAACAAAACTACTACTAACCACTAAGAGTGAAATAAATTTATTTATTATTGTTTTTCCCAGGAACCATTGAACCATCTCTTCGTATTTTGGCCATGAAATATAACTGCGATAAGATGATCTGCCGCAAATGCTATGCTCGTCTACACCCACGTGCAACCAACTGTCGTAAGAAGAAGTGTGGGCACACTAACAACCTCCGCCCCAAGAAGAAGATTAAGGATTAATTTCACATTTTATATTTCAGTCTGGCTAACAATATAAAATTAAATTAATATACAATCTGTGTTTTAAATTTATTCCGTAATACTTCTACTTTTTGATGCATGTCCATCAATAGCAAAACTAACATTACAACTTCCAGTACTATTATAATTTTATACTAGTTTTAAAAGTCTAGAAGGTACTATTTTTCTAATTAAATTTAAATTTGAAAAATTAAGTTTTTAGCTTTCATCTCTGGATATTTTTCCTTACCGTATTATAAAACTAATTTGATTAATGTATAAGATCATCTGCTTTGATATTTTAAATATTGTAGGAAATTTTCAGCCTCTTAATATAATTATTAGGCATTGGATTTGGTTATTGTTATATTGGTATAGCAGTTAGGTAGTGCTCCATTATGTAGGAACAAAATATTTGCAAAATAGCTAGCAACAAGCACTTGGCCAACTGGCATTACTGGAAATGTTGATGTGGGGGACTAAAGAAACAAGAAACTGTTTATATATCTTTATATTTGTAAATAAAAATATAATAGTATTTGTAAATCATGTAGTTTGCATGGAAGCTCATTAAAATGTTGACCATGTGTATAAAATGGAACATACAAATAAAAAAATATTCAGTACAACATGTCTTAAATGATACCGTTCACAACCATAGGTGTATTTTATATTATATATTTTAAAATGAATACAATGAATATATTTAAAATGGACGGAATTCTAAACTAATGTACCTTACTTAAGAATAAAAAATATTAAATGTTACTATCATACCATACCAAAGTGAACCACTTTCACTTTTGGCGTATTGCGTGGGGCTTCACCCTCTGAAAAAAATTTAAATTATTTAAATACTTAATAGTAAATGTGAATAAGTAAAGGTGTGAACACATTTTCAAATACTTAGTTTTCACAGACCGGTAGCACGGTTTATTAAAATGTAAATCGGCAAGTTATTATTAAGTAGGTATGTGCGTTAACGTCACTTACATTAACAATAGTGTTATTAGTATCATGCAACATGCAAGGTGGTGCAGTTATCACGTGAATATTTCACACTTCGACGTAATCAAGAGTTGTACCAAGGGGTGCTCTTCGCGATTCGTTAGCGAATTGCGCCTGCGACGGACTGCCGTGAGGTGCGAACGCAGCAAGGTATTTATTTGGAGGGCATAACGGCAGACTGTCGGCTAGTTCTTTCGCTACCTCCGACTGGGGTTGGTCCTAAAATATAAAAGTTACTATAACATTAGATATGTACATTACATTTTGATTGAGAGGCCTATTCAAACCATAAGGATTTTAGTTCAGTGAGTACTAATATTTTAGGTAGGTTAAGTTCAATTCCTGAAAGTTGTCATATTAGTGTAGCTAATTTACCTTTGATTTAGGTATTACGTGAACAATACAAGTTAATAATATTGTTGTTAGTTTTTATATTACAGGTTTTTCAAAGGGTCTTTCTTATTGCCTTTGTGTGCAATTTATAAATAAATTAAGAGCGATAATTTATGAGGTCCTGCTCGATTAAAAACTGGTAGCTTGTCATACCACAAAAAAGTCTGAAATAATACAAACTACACTTACTGGAACAACAGCTATAGTAATTGTGTCGGAGAATTTAACTTTATTCCTTTCTGCAGGACGGCTTCCAGGCCACACTGTATTATCCTGCCTGTATCTTTCGTTGAAATTGCTATTACCCACATGTATATTGCTGCTATATCTATATGTATTTGGGATGTCATTTTTAATCTCTGAACGAAACAGGTGATTAAAATGAGTTGGCACCATTCTATCACTAGATTTTGCCACCAAATCTGTAGTGGGTTTAACGATTCCTTCACTAATTTTAGTCCCACTCATCTTGAAGTTTAACACGTTATCTACGCTATTCCATCGCATATTTGAAGATTTCGATGGTTTGGGTTCAATAAGATTAGCGATGTATGTGTCATCTTTGACATTGGTATTCCATATGGTGTTGTCTCTTTCTAAATACTGGTGTAAATTTGGTCGTATACTATTGGTGGACGGAGGGTTATGTGTGACAGGTACAGGTAATATGGTTGGTTGTGGGGGCAAACTGACGCGTGGCAGTGGCGGTGGATTCGTCTTTCTAATGTCCTTGTGTTCTTCTTCTGATTCCGAACACGAACCTGAACTGCATTGTGAACATGATTCTGAACATTCTGACCCTGTAAAATGTTAAATTACGTTATCCCATAGCCTTATATTATATTCCGCAACAACACATCGATAAAAAATACTTATCTTATAATCTTACGTAGGTAATGTATTACCCACTCAAGTCATATAGTTTATTGTAATGAATTTTAAAATGTAAAATGTAGTCTTTCACTGAGTTTGACTTGCTTTAATTAATACATCAAACTTAATGGCGAATATTTTATCATTTGCTTTAGTAAATCCCTGAACTTAGACTACCATTATACCTGGGTGGGAGGATCGAGGCGCATAATGTGCAGCGAGAGATGCAGCCTCCTGTGCTAGATGACGTTGTCCCGTACGCATAGCAGCCCACTGCGCGTCAGAGAATAGATCCCACGCTTCCAGCTCTACTGCTAGGCTCATTGCTTTCTCTATACGACCTCGTCTGCCAATAATTGAAGTCAAACGTTATTATAACAATATTTCATTACAATTTAATTACGTTTATGTATCCTCTTATTTATAAAAATATTATCAAGATCATATTAAAACATACACAAAGTACAGTAAATAGGTATATGGTGGTAGACAGTGTAAATTATCTTCTATATATTAGATAGAAAAATTAAAATACCTTAATAAGTGATGAAAGAATTTTCTAGCCAGATCATGAATAGGGGGTGCGTATTTACTCGCCGATATTGGTAATGGCGCCGCCGGTGCCAAATATACACCTAGAGCACCCTGTATAGCATTCTCGGCATTGAGGTCAAAGGTGTTACCACGTAGAGCGTTGATAACGACTTCACTAATTCCATGTAGACACACATCACCTTCTTCAACCCAGTCATAAGTTTGGAGCAGATCCACAGTAGCATTAGGACGCCCGGAACGTAACCATGCCTAAAAGAAATGTTGCATATAAGTAAAAAATTAATTTTAAATTGAAAAACTATTTATTGGTTTCACACACTAGACCACAGCCTTTAAATATAAAAAAAGATTTTAACATTATATTAAGCTTGTAACAATGTATACATTAGTATATTAACATTTGAAGAAGTACCTATATAATTATCGTTCTTTACAAAAATAATATATGTAAATGTGTTTAACAATAATTACCGTTATTAAATGTGGATGACTTATACGAAGAAGTGTCAGTGGACCACCGGAGAAAGTAAGTAAAATCATTGGCCCACTTTTAAACCTCCGTGTTCCAAGTATTTGGATTCTTCTTGTATCCCTGGAAAAATCCTGGAGCATTAAGGCGATGCCTAATCTTCTAATAGACAGTAGCTGTAAGTTATAAAATTTGACTACCGTAGGTAAGAAGACAGATCCAAACATTTAGTGTGATGATGTAACGCAGATAGTGCCCTATCAAAACACTGCAGTCTGCCATTCTCTTCACTAGCAATAATTAGTTCACCGGCCCACAGTACATCAGTAGGTATCTGTAAAAATATACTAACTACTACTTACAACTGAAATGCAAGTCTTTTTTTCTGCCAAAATATTTACTTTTATGATGTTAAACAGCATCTAGTTACGAAACAATTTTTTTGATACTTTTTTTGTAAAATTGTAGTGTGCATAATCATGGGTATGAGGCCTTACAAATTTCTGTTTTGTTTTATTAATAAATTTGAATTCACAAACCGAGTGAAGGACAACCAGCAGTGTGTGGCACTGATGACCTAAAGTAAGCAGACAGTAGCAGAAAAGAGCAAGTGGGTTGGTTTAGTAGAGGCTTACGATCATATTGGATGACGATGGTGCAGTTACATAGTATATTATTTTTTCATACATGAATACTCACAAAACCAGCTTTTATTGAGTGAGTCAGTCCAGCTATGTGATTTATAATGTGTAAAGTACCATCTATACTTGCAACCAAAAGTCTTAAGTCGCATGGTGATCTCCGTGCAACTCTAACAGGGGACGGCAAGGTCACTTGAGTTATATTTTGGTGAAGTAAAAGCTGTGCCACTCTATCTCCTTTTGGCACATCATACCTCAACCAAGAGAGATTTATGCCATTCTGAAAATATATATAAAATGTTTATAGTGTGTAACCAATGGCAATGAATGTTATTTAAAAAACTTTAATAGAATTTTTATTATTAAACGTAATTTTATTCTCTGGCAGTTTTAAAACTGAGTATGAAAACAAACTACCTTATGACTTGAAATTTGTTCAATAACATGAACAATGTTAGGATGTTTGTTGGACAGTTCTGCAGATAAAACCTCATTCTCAACTTGTTGAAAAGCAATTAGTGATACTTCCTGTCTGAAAAAAAAAGAAAGAAAACTGTTGGAGGTTATATATATTGATACTGGCTGGCAACACTTGAATTAGGTTTTAAAATGTTCTATTCTATGTTTGTTTGAATTCCCAGGATATTATTTTATGATAAAAAAACAAGGACTTCTCTTCTCGACACGCCGGACGAGACACGTCGGGGTTTTTGTACATATTTATTATACAAAATTATATTAACAGTGCAAATAAATAATGTGAGAGTTTTAAGTGGGTGTGTTTTTATAAATATATGTAATTATCCCTGCTCCGCCCTCCCACAAGCCAAAGCTTCCACGAGGAAGTATAGTAATATTACAACAAAAACATTTGAAGTCACACTTGACAGAGTCTTTGTTTTAACATATATTATTGTTATTTGTATTGATATTCAAAACTGTATTCCAAATCATTTATCTCATGATGATGTATCTCAGTAAATTATCTATAGAAGGTGTGTCTTACCCTTCAATATAATAGAGATGTAAGTTAGCATGGTCCTCCATTAGGGGACTCCATGGTGCTGGATCAGCTATATTATTACTCCAGACCAATAACTTAACACCAGCATTACTTTGACACCAAGACACATGTCTGTCAATTTTGCGATTACTTCCAGCAAGTTCTACACTCTGAAATGTTTATGTAAGTGAGATCAGTAATAAAAGTGATACATCATATTAGCTAATTTTTTAACTTATTGATAAGAATCTATTTAAGATATTAAACATATTTTATTTTTTATTTAGCAAAAATATCTCACTTGTATATGAGGATCTCTGTCTGAAATTCGACATGGCAGATTTTCTTCATTTTTTTCCCTAGTACAACCAATGTAGCTAAACGCTCCGGATGAACATATAATATGTGAGTTGAAGATAAAACAACTGAAATTAAAATACAATTATTAGGTAAGTATTTGTTGTAAACATTAAAAATTAAGACTTACTACTAATATTTAACCAACCATTAGTAACTGTGTGTCCTATTAATTTTCCTATACAATATCTGTCAAAGAGTACTTGTATTACATCAAGTGTGTTGGGTTTTATGGAAAGATGAGCTAAGACTCCTGAAGAAAATACTAATGTCGCAAGTGTGTCACTTCTCCACTCACACGCTATTACTGTCCAATCTCTTAGTTTTGATTCTAGTTGCCTAATATGGTTCAATTTAGCTGGTCTATGATATCCACCGCGATTTTCACAATAAGTTCGCTTTCCACTCTCGTATAAAGATTCGTCAACTTTTTTCTTAACTTCATATCTAAAATGTTTTTTTTAATGTGTTAAGTGAATACATCTCATTAAAGTCACCATGCAATAACTTAGTATATGAATATTACTTGTAACTTTTTAAGTCATTATTTTTCACATATAATACTGAATCGTCGATTGTGAAAAATTTTACATCATAACTAAACATTTTAAAACTAGTTCACAAAAAAATATTCCATTAATATGTCGCAAAATTTGAATATTACATTATTTAGTGAGAATTGAGTAATACTACGTAATTAAATACAATTAATATTGTTTTACATTGTGATAAAATTTAAATGATAATTCATAAATAGTGATTTATTATCATTTATCGAGTGTCAACAAATTTCTATAACAGTAAAATCTAAAATGTAGAAATTAAACTGTGTCAGTCCACACAGATGACAACTGACGTTGTTGTATTTGTAAACGTCTTTAATATGATTTATATAAATATTAACATAAATTATTTATATTTATTTTGAATTATTATTTTAGTGAGCTTGATTCCGGGACTTTTCAGACAATTAATTGTGGTAAATTTATTTACTGTGGTAAATAAATCTGTTCTATTCTATTCTTTTTAATTTTAAATTGAGTCTGTATCTAATACCAGAATATTTTAGCTAGCAACATTTTAAAGTAGGGCAATTCCAGAATTAATAAGGAAATAAATTAAGCAATAATAATTAATGAATTTAATTAAAATTAAGAAGGTCTGAGTTTAACTTTAAAGTTCAAGTTCGAGTTGCGACGTTTAAATATTCATATCATGCAGAGCACATACCTACTAATATTAGTTCTCACAAAAGGGTAGCGTCTCTTGGCGGGATTCGTAAAAAATGTTTAGGCCTTAGGGGCCTTTAAGAAAGGTAAAGATTTCCTCATTTTAAATTATATTTTTCTTAGCTCCGATGGGGTATTTTCCCAATATACTAAATTAGAAGACCGCGGGCCACTTATCTATACTAATATTATGAAGCTAAAAAGTTTGTTTGAACACGCTGAGCTCAGGAGCTACTAGTTTGAATTGAAATAATTTAAAACATGTAAAAAAACGGGAGAAATCAATCATCTTTGAGGGCTTCCGTTGTGTGCGTTCAAAAACAGTTCAAGATACTTATAAAATATATACAAAAGAATTATACTTTTTTTAATAATCCAAATAAATGTTGTTATGTGTCTATTATTTAAGATTAACTCATAAGAACCGTATTAATGGAAATCAAATTTTGTCGAAATATGCCGCTGAAATATGACCTACGTCTTTATTGAAAGAAATTAGGCAACGGATATTGAAACAGGAAGACGCGTTTAAGTGCTTCTAGCAAGTAATACAGGCCTTAATTTGTTGCAATGAAAGAGGAGAACTTTTAAAATAAAGAAAATGTTAAGAATTATCCGACAGGAACTTTAATTTATTTTCTTATTTGTTAAAAAAGTGTACCTACCTATATGATACGTAAAACTATATCGACACAATTAGCTGCGTTCTCTTTGTTAAGATGCACTTGGTTACATTACAATCGTAGCCATTAAGCATAAAAAATAATGCCTATATAAGGTAATGCTTATATAGGTATTATTTTTATGCTTAATGGTATCATTACTACATATTAATGTATATGACAGTTATTACAAAGCTTTCTTGATCTTTAATAAAAATACACAAAACAAAATACATATGTATAAACAAATTAATGTGAAATTTATTCTTATTTGTCTCATGCGAAAAGTTAGTAACTACGGGCTACCGATTTAATGAAGATAGTACTTTCTTAGAACTTAACTTGATTTTGACTCCAGTACGAGAACATCAAAACGAATAATAAAATATCCTTAACATAAAATATAATTGCTCAATAATGAAGCCATCTGGCGAAAGGAATGGTGGTATTAAGCCAGTCTCAAATAATTACAATTTCGTGACATAGCTTTAAGCTACATTTACTTCTTCACAAAAATTTCAATTACAGGAAATGAAAATTGTACAACTGTTTCTCTTTGCTGTTTTGAAGTTTTTACTCATTAACTTAATTAAAGACTTGTGCCAAAGTTTTAGTAAGCTTTTTGTTAGTTTGTAAGTTCTTTTGCGAGGCTCTCTTGTAGAGTTTTGGAAGGTATTGTAATATAATACACGCCCTTAACTTGGGTACTGGTAGTAGGTAATAAGTAATAAGTTACATTTTTAACTTTTAACTTTCATAAGTTATTAATACATGAATAAATATGTTTGATTTTATAAAATTATCTTATTGAATACGTTTTGCAAAATAACTATAAAATACTATAAGGACAAAATACAAAAAGAGAAAACATTTTTCAATACAATAAGTTCGTTGGTTTATCACCTCTTATGATTGTTGAAGTCAGAACAATAGGACCTTCAGTAATTGGCTGGGCCAAAAAAGTGCCCATAGATAAATTTGTTTGTGGGTTAATGTTATGCAGTATACAAGATATGTATAATTAAATTTCGTCATTATATACTAGTTAGATAACTAATGCATAGATAAACGCATTATGGTAAATACTGTCTATAGTTTACGCGAGTAGTACACATTTGAATAAAACACTTTAACGGTTTTATTTAAAAGGGTTATGGTATTTGAAAACTTTAATATTTTTTACATGTTATTGCACATGAAGGCACTATATAATTTAAGAATCGAAAATAAATTGAAAAAATTTTCGACTCGGGCAGGACTTGAACCGGCATCGTAGGTTCCGCGCTGTTGCTCTACCAATTGGGCTACCGAGTCCTACACCTCATCGTCGAATTTTTTTAAAACCTTAATACGTAAGTGTTAAGGTTGAAATTACACTGCGCAATTGCACCATTATCAATAGTTAAAAAAACTAGGTTAGGACTCGGTAGCTCAATTGGTATAGCGTTATGGTAATTAAAATTATACGGTCCAAAGCGGCATAGTTATTGAATCCAATTAATCTGTAGCTATCCTCCGAAATAAAGTTTCACCTAACAATTAAAAATACTGGAAAATTCAAAACTATTTGCTGAAACAATATATGACATGACGGAAAAATATTTCTCGTTACAGTGTCCATCCATGTGCAGGTTTTGTGTCGAGGTTGGAAAAGAGAAAAAGCAGGTAAATTGGTCGCAATCTTTCTAGATTGCATTTTGTTTCGAAATGAAAAATAAAGGAAATATCTACTCCGACATTATTAGTTATTGATAGTTTTGCAAGCAAATGTTTTGACTACAATGCATTAGTAATAAATATATGTATGACAGAATAAAGCATAAGGGTATTATAATTATTCCTCCTACCTTAAACAAGGTTTATGGAAGCAAAGGACACCTGATCCCATTATCATGTTAAGCATTTGAATAGTTGATAAATGATACGAAACTATCCGGACCATGTGTTGCGCCTTAGTTTACGCTACAATTAATAGCAACGTATGATATTTAGTTAAAAATGGATTCCATTGTAAGGTACTGTGTATTAATTTACAATAACATAGGTATACAATATACTAGTCGTGTCAGCATTTTTGTTTGCATAGAATAGTTATTTTGGCCATCAAACCTCCGTACAATCAGGCCTCCGTACAAACTGTATAAATTTAAGCTGATAGCCACGACGTCGTCCGTGACCCGTCGTTCCTGCAAGTTAAAAAAGTTCTTAAAGGATCTTCATATTCTGCATTTTTTTTAGGTCAATTAAAAAGGAATCGTTCTTTCATACACATATTTTGGGTTTTCGTTGCGTACGCTTGCGCACGCTAAAGTGAATGAATAATTTTCACATTTTCCGCTGTTTCCTCGCACCTATAAGACGCAGCGCAATCTTATATAACCTATAGCCTTCCTTTATAACTGCTCTAAACAACACAAACAGAACTTAGATTAGTTAAGAAAGAAGAAGAAGAAGTTGTACCTGAGATTACGCGTCCAAACAAACAAACAAACTCTTCAGTTTTATATATATAGAGTATAGGTGTATTTGTAGGTTCACTTTTCAATCGTGCTATGAATAAACCAAGCTTTCGACTTCCGTAGCTCACGCAACACCCCCATAAAAACCCGATCTATAAATAAGAGTAAAGAAATTCATTCTTGACATCGAAAGTATCATGCATTGTGTAATAATACATTTGTTATTTTCGATTCGTTTTTATGTTTGAAAAGCTAATGATTCGATTATATAAATGAATTGATTGAAAAAAATTACGACACGGATAGGACTTGAGCCGGCATCCACAGCGTTCCGTGCTGTTGCTCTGACCAATTGAGGACGAGGTAGCCCGACGACTGTGGATGCACATCGATTCATTTTTTCAATCTAAAATCGATTTTTGATTATTTTTTTTAAATTTTGTGATGATGATTAAATAAACGGTTTTTACTATTTTCCCGCCGATATCCATTCAAAATCGACGAAAAGTGAATGTTTTCAATCCAAACTGTCTTATGGAATGCGGACGATACTGCATTGCTGTGTTTGCTCTTATTGTCTTTTTTGACATGATTTTTTAAATAAAATTAAGTCTTAAGTTACGTGTAAACATTCTGACTTTTAATAAACGAAATTTATATTATACGGCGCTATCTCAGTATCGCAGTACGCAACTCATTCCAAAAATGGAATTCTCGATTTTTGTTGATTCCTCTTATTTCTCGGATAAAAATATATATTTTATTCTATAACTATTTTGAAATAAAAATGGTAATCGCTAAGTACGTGTACTGGAAAATTATTACACTACGTACATACTACGTACTTTATTATTTTAGTAAATAAGTTAAAATCTTCGTCCTATTTTAAGACATATATTTATAAGTGTAACAGTTATTATAATCGTACAATTGTGTAGTAACTTATAATATGTATTATGCTTTTTGGAAACACGTTATCTTTTAAAATAAATCACTTTTGACGGTTTACGCTAAATGTATTAGTTACGCCGTGGTCACGACTGCAAAGCATTCGAAACGTCGGGCCGTAGTCAAAGTAATTATAAACAAGTTTTAATTAATACATTTCGCGTTTTAAACCGTTTGAGTCAAATGTGTACTACTCGCGTAAACCATAGATGGAACTTATTACGTTAATCTTATCATAATAGCTAAACCGTTACTACTATAATAACTATTGGTGCAAGTCTGTCTAGTTTATGAAATTCACGTAAAAT